TTTTTTGTCCTTGTCTTACATACGTGTTGCCATGACAACATGTGCGTTAGAAAAGGACAAAAAAAGTGTAGGCATATCTGACCACGAGTGAACACCATATGGCCATGAACTAATAAAATTATTATAGAAGTGTCACAACTTTTCAAATTGTCGTCAAGGCGCTTGAAAATACAAGGATTTTTCAACCGTCTGTGTTTTCTATTATCTTTGCAATGTAAAGACAGCTTAAGAGTGACAGAGATAGTGATATATGTTTGTTTCTTTCACTCACATACCCCCAATTACATAAATGCTGCGTCCTTCCGGTTTGACAGCATTTTAAAAAGTCGTAATATTTCTATAATAATTTTATTAGTTCATGGCGTAATATTGAAATCTAAAGGGCTAAGCAGAATAGAAACGTAATCGGAATCGCAAACGCAAACAGAAGAATGAATTAGAGAAGGATAGACATATTGTTTGTCCTTCTCTAACTTATTCCTGTTGCGGTTACGATTCCGGTTACGTTTTTTATTTTGCGTTGGCTGTAGACAAACAATGTGTTAGAGAAGGATAGCATATATCTTTGTCCTTCTCTAACTTATTATTCCGTACATGGCCAACGTAGAATCGAAACGTAACCGGAATCGTAACCGCAACCGGAATAATGAGTTAGAGAAGAACAACCAATATTTCTATCCTTCTCTAACTTATTCTTCCGGTTGCGTTTGCGATTACGATTCCGATTACGTTTGCGATGATGATTCCGATGACGTTTCGATTCTGCTCTGGCCTTTACGATTGCGTTTCCGTTTAAGAATTAATTTTTTTTTTATTTAAAAAAATTTATATGATTTCAAAAAATAATTAAAAATTATAATGAACTATTTATTATTTATCTATCTATAAGTAAAATTATCTATTGAAATACATCGGACAAGAGTAATACATATTTGTAGACGTTTTACTGAAACTAGAAACCCAACCCTGAACAAAGTGACAATAGACGATAATTTAGCTTCCACGCCCTGTTATAAAATGGTCGCATTCACATCAGTCACTCAGTTTGATAAAAAAGATTAAACAATTGTAAAAATAAATAAATACAAACAAAATAATTATGTGAAATAGTGTGAATAAAGTTATTTTCAAGAATTTATCAAGATTTTTTCCAAAAAAATTCAATTAAATTATCAGGAATGTTGTGAGAAAAAGACAGCGTCAATTTTTTCAATCACGTGACAAAGATTTATTCAATTGACATCAAATATCTTCAGTTTTTGGTATTTTTCAAGGTTCGTATTCATTTTTTCTTTAACTTTTAATTAATTTTCTTTTGTTATTATTATTATAAGAATTTGAAATTTTTTTTTTACATGTGATAACCTAAAAATGTAATTTATATATTTATATTTATTCTGCCTTATATTTAATACTATTTACATTTTTATATTATTTTTGTCATAAATAATTTTCTATTGAGAAAAAAATTCTTTTTAACATAATTTTGGTATAAAATTTATTTATTTTTTTTTTACATAATTTCGATGTGTAAAAGAAATTTTTTTTTTTTACAAAATTTTGATTTAAACAGGAAAGTGAATGAAATTTTTTGGGGAAATTTTTTTTTTTTAGGAAAAAAGTAACTAGTTAAGAGATGGTAATTTATATAAATTTTAACGACTCATCCCTGCTAAGTAACCTGATATTATTGGACTTTGGTAACTTCTTCCCTCCTTTTTTCGGAGAAAAAAAAGTACGTTATACCAAAAAAATGCTCGCACAGTAAATTAAACGAAAAAAAAAAAAATGTGAAAAGCAATCATTTTATAAAGAATAATTTATTATCGAGAATGGATGGGAATAATTTCAACTATAAAGGTATGTAATTAAAAAATTGTTTGCTTTTAATAATTGTTTAACTATAATTTCTTTTATGTGAAATATGCAAAAATTAATTGTTAAGTTTAACTAATTGTCAACACTTCTTTTTTAACCTTTTTTTTTTTATATAATTTCTCAAAACTAATTTCCATTATACTTGATTTTTATGTGTGTGTGTGTTTTTTTTAAATATTATTATTTTAATTTTTAATATAGACTGAATAGTCGCTTAAAAAAAATTCATTTTATCGAAAGAATATTAAAAAATTTTTTCAAACGCCAAATTTTTATTTTTTTACAATTTTTATTTGTCCGAGAAAAAATAAAGTCAAAAATTTGCTCCCAAATATATTTTTCCAAACAAATGATAAAAATGAAAAGAAAAATTAAATTAAAATAAATTATAATGAAAAATAGAATAAAAATAAATTTTAATAAAAAATAAATTTAAATAAATTTTAATAAAAAATAAAATGACAAATTATAAAATTATAAAAATTCTTTTTAAATCACCATTCTTTGCAATAAAATTACAAAAACAAAATAATTATTATTTAAAATTCAAATTAGATTAAATCGATTTTTTTTTTCTTTTGTTAAATAATAATAATTCAGAAAATTTGAAATTCGTCTGAAAAAAGTGTTAAAAATTCATAAAATGAATTTTAAAAGTCGTAATTAAAAATTTTGTAAATTTTTATTATTTTCTAAAACAATATTAAAATATTTCCAAACTTTTTTTTCTTTCTAAATTGTAAACGTGTATATATTTGAACCAATAACTTTTGTATTTGAAGTAAATACGATTTAATTGTTACAAATGAAAATTATTTGATTTAAGTAAATATTTATTTGATAATAGTCAAGTAAGCAACAGGCCTCGGATTATACGACTTTGTCGACTATTTCCTATTTTTTTTTTCAAAATTACGACTTTTTTCAACTTATTTTAATAAAATATGACTATTTTGACTTTTTTTACATTTTTTAAAAAAAATTTTAAATAAAATAAATTTTTTTTTAGAATAAAATGCAAATCTTTTTCAGATCTTCTTTATTTCAATTATTTAACAAATTTTTAACTAAAATTCTTTAATAAAATTAATTATTTTTAAAAATCTTTAATAAAATTCATCAAAAAATTCAATTATTTCAAAATTATTTTTCAATTAAAATTTTTGAAAATTTTAACAATAACAATTAGTTTCTTTCTTTCCTAAATAGCAGTGTTATACATATATATTATACAATTTGTATTTAAAGGGTACTTTATTTTTGAAGTCCCGTAAATAAATAAAATAAATAAAATAAATAAAATAAATAAAACAAATAAAATAAATAAAATAAAATAAAATTCAATCATTTTCAAAAATTTTAATTCAAAATCAATTAACATTCAATTATTACCCAACATTTCAATTCAAAATCTTTTAAAATTTAATTATTTTCCAAATTTTTAATTCAAACCAAATAAAATTTAATTATTACCCAAAATTTCAATTTAAAATCAATAAAAATTAAATAATTATTTAAAATTTCAATTCAAAATTAATTATTATCAAAATTTTTAATCAAAAATCAACTAAAATTAAATTATTAGCCAATATTTCAATTAAAATTCAATTATTTCCCAAAATTTCAATTCAAAATCAAAGAAAATTCAATTATTTTCAAAATTTTCAAATCAAAATAAACTAAATTTCAATTATTTTCCAAATTTTCAATTTAAAATCAAATAAAATTGAATTATTTTCTAAAATTCCAATTGAAAATTAATTACTTTCTAAAATTCTAATTGAAATTCAATTATTTTCCTAAAATTTAATTACAAATCAACAAAAATTCAATTATTTCTAAAATTCCAAGTGAGGTTCAATTATTTTCCAAAATTTCAATTCAAAATCAACTAAATATCAATTATTTTCCAAAATTTTAATTCAAAATCAACGAAAATAAAAAATATTTTCTAAAATTTCAATTCAAAATCAACTGCAATTCAATTATTTTCCAAAATTTTATTCAAAATCAGAGAAAATTAAATTATTTTCTAAAATTTCAACTGCAACTTGTTCAAAATTTAATTATTTTCCAAAGTTTGAATTCCAAATCAACAAAAATTTCAATTCAAAATTAATTATTATCAAAATTTTCAATCAAAAATCAATTAAAATTGAATTATTATACAAAATTTCATTTAAAATTGAATTATTTCAAAATTATTATTTAATTAAAATTTTTATAAAATTTAACAATTGTTCATAATTTTCAAAAAATGTCAAATAAAATTGCCAAAAAAATTTTAATTCAAAATAATAAATCAATTCAAAATCAAATAAAATTCAATTATTTTTAAAAATTTTAATTCAAAATCAACTCAAATTCAATTATATTTAAAAATTTTAATCCAAAATCAAATAAAATTTAATTATTACCCAAAATTTCAATTAAAATTCAATTATTTCCCAAAATTTCAATTCAAAATCTAAGAAAATTGAATTTTTTTTTAAATTTTCAAATCAAAATCAACTTAAAATAATTTATTTTCCAAATTTTCAATTTAAAATCAAATAAAATTCAATTATTTTCTAAAATTTCAATTCAAAATCAACGAAAATTCAATTATTTTCCAAAATTTTAATTCAAAATCAACTAAAATTGAATTATTATCCAAAATTTTGAATTAAAAAGCTTCAAAAATTTAATTATTTCTAAAATTTTCCATCGTAATTTTTTTTGAAATTTAACAATTTCAATTATAATAACTCTAAGGAAATTCAATTATTTTTAGTTAGTTTTATAATATTCTTTGAAAATTCAACTATCTGAAACTATTTTTCATTTAAAAATGTTTTTCAAATTATTGTATTTTTTGTTCAATTAATTTCAAAAAAAAAAAAATTTATTTAAAAATTTGTAAAATATTTTTGTTAAAATAAAAAAAAAATCGACTTTTTCGACTTTTTCGTAATATAAATCGACTAAAACGGCTTTTTTTTGTGCCTTTAAGTCGATCCAAGGCCTGAACTAATTATTTGAATCAAATAAATTTTTTTTTTTTTCATTATACTTGAATATTTATTGAAAAATTATTTTTTTTTTTTTTGGGAAAAAGGTTATATCTATTTAAAAGACACACATTCAAAGTTATATATTTTATTTACTGTAGAATATTTTTATTTGATTATTTAAAAAAAAAAAAAAAAAAAAAAAATTTAATAAAATTTTTCTCTTATAAATTATTATTATCTATCGTGTGGTAAATTAATGTTTTATTTTTTATAACTTGTTGGACAACAGTAACACATTCCTTTATTGGGTATACCATACGAATATTTCAATGGATTATTATTACACCTCATATCACGTTCTTTCCAATCGTTGAGCCAACAATTAAAAGTACAATCATCTTCTTGAGGGGCTGACATTCCATAAATAGAAAAAATTGCAACAACAATGAATATAATTAAAAAGGTACGATTCATTATTTTTTTTTTTTTTACTTATCTTATTTGGAATCTGAAAACAATATATTGTGTTTTTTTATTTCTTATTATTTGAAAAAAAAATTCCTTTTTTGAACATATTCTCAAAATTGTTATCTCGGAGATTTGTAATTTCTAATAACTTATAAATTATACTAAAAACAATATATAGAAATTGAAATGAAATATTAATTTTTTTTTTTTTGCAAATAATTATATATAATTTAAATTAAGAGAAATTTTTGCTATTTACTTACAAAAAAGTTTCTTTTTAAAATTTTGGAGTATGAAAAACTTCTTTCTATATTCAATTATATGTGATTGTTGTACAAAATTCCGCTACTCTCTAGTGATAATTAATAAAAATAATTCCAATATATAGCAAAATTTTGCCCACTTCACAATAATAATAATAATAATAATAATAATAATAATAATAATAATAAAATAACTAAAGAAGGGGAGTCTATTTAAAAATTAATTCATAGATATTTCTTATTTCTTTTAAAATATAATTATTTTTTTTCTTCAAATTATCATTTGAATTGCATATTTAAAAATTTACATATCTTTAATCAGGCTGTAAATACTCTTCTTTTTGAAAATTATGTACATAATGGAATTAAGCAACAAAATACATTCAAAAAAAAAAAATTCAAATTTATGATGATTGTTAATTAATATTCACATGGAAAGACAAATTATTTCATAATTCAATAAAAGTTGATCTAAATATTAACAATAGTCAAATTTAAAAGAAGACTATACAGAATTAGATGAAAATTATAACGTTTATAATAAACGATTTTTAAAGAAATAATTTTTTATAATGAATAATTCTTTAATTTTTTGCCTGAAAAATATTTCTTGTAGTTTAATTAAAAAAAAACTGTTGATTAATAAAATCAACAAATTATAAAAAAAAATATATATATATTTTTTTAGATAAACGATTTTATAATTTTTCGTGTTAAATAACGAATTTACTTCAGCATCGTTTTTAATAAAGGATTAATTTTTTTTTTTTTTTTTTGTTTTTTTTATCAATTATCTAAAATATATTTTGATTGAAAAAATTTTTTACGAGGCCTATTAAATGGTTATTATATTTGGTGTTTATTTACTTTTTGAAAATATTCAAATTCAATTAAGAAAATTTATTAAATTAACAATTTTTCAAGCAATTAAAAAAAATTGATAATTTAAGAAATTTTTCAATAAACAGCAAATATAATAACCGTTTAATAGGCCTCGTAAAAAAAATTTTCAATCAAAGTTAATTAAAAACGGAGTAAAATAATAATCATCAACAAATTTTAAGGGGGTAGTCTGGTGTTTCGATGCCTTTTTGGGAGCTTATTTCAGGTTTTTTTTTTTTTTTATTATAAAATAAAATATAATCACACCAAATCTTTTTACTTCGTTTTAATTCTAATCACGAAGTGTTGAAAAAAATTATAATCGATTATTTTTTACTAGATTTTGTTATTTATATTTAATATTAATGTTTATAACAAAAAAATGCTGGCGCAGATGATTTACAAAAATCTATCCGACCGATTGCTCAAATTTTTTTACAGCTTATTCTACACAAGCATGGCTCTGTCCCGTACTAGAATAAAACATTTTTGTTAATAAATAACAAAAAATAGCGGACTATATAAGCAAAAAGATTCAAAAATTGTCTCTTTTTTTATTGACAAAAAGTTAAAAATAAAAAAAAGTTATCATTAAAATTGCGTAATTCTAGTACGGGCCACAGCCATATTTGTGTAAAATAAGCTAAAAAAAAATTGGAGCAATCGGTCGAACAGATTTTTGTAAATCACCTGCGCCAGCATTTTTTTGATATAAACATTAATATTAAATATAAATAACAATGTCTAGTAAAAAATAATCGATTATAATTTTTTTCAACACCTCAAAAGGAGAATAAAACGATGTAAAAAGGTTTAGTGTGATTTTATTTTATTTTATAATAAAAATAAATTCTGAAATAAGCTCCCAAAAAAAAGGCCTAAACACCAGACTACCCCCTTAAATATATTTTGTTTTGTCATTTTTTTTTTTTTTCTATTTTTTCAATCATATATACGACGTTATAATTTATATAAATTGAGGTATGTGGGAATTAATGGACAACAATAACAAATGCCCTCATTAAACGGTAGGGGATAGGAATATTTTCCTGGATCATTAAGACAGGTAGAATCTCTTGCTTGTTGATTGTTACGCCAACAATTGCGACTAATATCACAGAAACTTGGATATGACATTATTTTAATTGTAAAAATCGTCAGAACAATGAAAATAATTAAACAGTAATAATTCATTGTTTATAGGAATTTGAAATCTGAAAATATGAATTAAAATAAAAAGTAAATTTAATTATAATAAATATTAAAAATAAATAATTAAATATTTATTTGTATTCAATAAATATTTATTTGTATCAAATAATTATTATTTGAGGCAAATTAAATGATATTTGTTTCAAATACAGAAATTATTATTGATTCGAAATACAATTAATTTAATTTAAATTAAAAAAAAATTATTTGATTCAAGTAAATATTTATTTGATATTTGGAATTATGTAAAGTTTAATTAAATTATTTAAAATTTAACAAAATCTCTTAAAATTCAATTAATTTTAAAAAATTTGTACTAAAATTATTATTTGAGAAATTTTTTTCAATTGTTTCAATTCAGTAAAGTTTAATTTTACTATTGTCTAAAATTCAAGAAATTTTTTTTTGAAATTTAATTTAAAATTTTAATTTTAATTCTTATAAAATTAATTTTTTTATAATTTTCATAATATTCTCAAAAAATTGAATTATTTAAAATATTTTTCAATTAAAAAAATTTTGAAATTCTATTTACGTCTATATTTTCTAATAAAAATCTTTAGCAAACAGAAATTATTAAAAAATTTTAATCAAAAAAAAACCTTGTTTACAAAAATCTAAATTGTAAATCTTTGAAAATAACACAAAAAATTTAGGTAAATTACTTATCATTTTGAAAAACGGTTTTTATATTCTTATTCGCATCAAATTTTGAAGAAAAAAAAAACAAAAATCAAATAAATTGAAAAATTAGTTTTGAGAAATTATGTAAAATAAAAAAATTATATTAATTTAAGTAAAATAGACATACAAAAATTAACTTACAAAAGTAGTTTGTCATGAAATTTTAAAGTGAAAAAGAAGACTATTATATCTTTTATGATTTTGTTTTTAAAAAAAATTCTTATATATACAGAGATAATTGAACTTTTTTTTAAAAAAATTAATATTAAGGGCAAAGGTTATATCTAATTAAAGACACATTCAAAGATATATTTTTTATTTACTGTAAAACATTTTTCTTTGATTATTTATGAAAAAAATTTAATTTATCTCTTAATTCAATATCGAGGACATGTATACATATATATATTTTTTTATCAAATCGCATTAATGGAATGAAAAAAAAAATTTTTTTTTGTTTATACATATTCCATATAATTAATTTATTGTGATTAATTAGTTTTTTTTAAATTTAATTAAGCAAGACCTAATGAACAACAGTAACATCTACCATGTATGGGACCATCGTACGAATATTTTTGTTTATTACCACAAATATTATCACGTGCTCTCCAATCATTGAGCCAACAATTGGAATTACATCCTAGATTCTGAGGAATTGACATCCCACATAAGGAGAAAATTGCAACGAGGAATATAATTAAACAGGTACGATTCATTTTTTTCCGTCTTATTTGAAATCTGAAAATAATATTTGTTATATTTTTTATTTCCTATATTGCTTTGAAAAAAAAATGTTCTTTTTTTCAAATATTCTCAAATTTTTTGACTCTGGTTATCAATTTTTTATCTGATATATTTTATGCGAATATAAAATTAAATTTTCTAATAACTTATAATTTATTAGAAATAATGTATTGAAATTTAAGGTTGCCACAAGTTATGAAAGTAAAACTTAATTATTGTTAGAAATTTTTGTTTTTGACTATTAAAACTGAAAAAAATATGAAAAAATTTTTAATTCTAATAAATTCAGGGAAATCATGGAAAAGTTAGGGAAAATTCAGAGAATTTTATAAAAAGTACTGGAAAAAATATCAAATTTCTAAAAATGCTACTAAAATTATAATTTTTGAAATTTTCAATTCAAACTTTTGCTTCTAAAAATTATTGTCTTATATTTTTATAATTGTCGACCTTGGATCGACTTTTGAAACAAAAAAAAATTTATTTTAGAAAAAGAAAAATCTAAAAACTCAATTTTTTTGTTTTCCATAAATTTAATAATTGGATAAATATTTTATTATTATTAACAATGTAAGAATGTATATGTATGACGATTAATGACGAAGGTGTCCGATTATAATTGGCGAAAATGTACGAGACTGATTGAGGATCAGTCTTACGCGAACCACGAAAATAAGAAGTCGACCAATAAACTTACATAATGTTGATTAAGTGTTTTATTTAATAATCCTTACAATTCAGAAGTGGGATTGACTCATTATCCGCCCAAATGAATTGCAAATTTATTTTTTAATTGTTTTACCGTCCTTGACGATTTTATCGATTTATCTTAGCGGCAAAAACCAGATGATCGCAAGTCGCCACGCGGTCGATCGAAAAATCGACGATCCTGAATGAACTACGCTTTTGTGTGGAATATAAGTGAAATCATTTGTTCGGGAAAAATTCGTTGACATCAGTGAGCTATGAAAAAGGGCCCAATTATGTGTAGTGGTCATTAAAACTTAATGTGCTCAAATGTGAAGTGACGCTTTCAGAAAGTGGCAATATGGCGATTCCAAAGGTGCCGTGTAATAACTCGTAAGAAGAACGCTAAGTGTCGCTGTGGTTCGCGAAGATACATGTGAAGCAATAAAATTTTGGTGATTGCGCGGTTCCGACTTAAGTTGAATATATGTGTCCTCTTGTGTGAGACGAAGAACACCATACTGATGAAGTGAAGTGTTCAGATTAACTTCTGAGAATTAATCTGTAATTTCTGTGTGTTGAACTTCTGATAATCATCATCTTCTGAGAGATTAATAACTTCTTTGGAAGCGGAAGAAAAATTTGTGAACCCCTTTGGAAATTCTGGCAAGCAAAATGTGTGATAATATGGACCCAACCAAGTTCACAGTGTTGACCCTTAAAGAAGTCTCCAAATTGCGGGGAGTGGTAGGTTATGGCAGTAAGGCCGAAATCATCAGACGCTTGCAAGAGGTTGATCCGTCGGATGCTTGGATGGAAGAAGCAATTAAAATTCAGTCGTCCAGTAATGAGTATTCAGAAACTGAAGGCC